GGCAAAGAACGACTGCAAAGACAAAAAAAAAAAAATAGCATTGCCCTTTTATCCTTAGTTACGATGACAATGATATCTTATTTTTGTCTTTGCAGTCATTCTTTGCCATTGGATCTATTGGCATTGCCCTTTTAGCCTTAGTTACCATGTCAACTCTTGGGTGGAGATGGATGCTTGCTCTCTCTGGGATTCCTCTGGCATGTTTCATTTTAATGTCAAGGGTAATTAATTTTCTTTTTTATGTTTTGAAATACAAAATAATGACATAATATAAAATAATATGAATATAGATACAATAATATTTCATAATGTTCAAATAATTTCATTTTATGTACCAAAAGAATCTTTCTTCTCAAATTTGTGCCCGGCTCTGTCAAAACCCTCCACTTGTGGCATTTCAAATTTCACACTAGCACCCAAAATGTTTGGGAGTCAGATTTTTGAACAAAATCAGGTTTTTTGCATTTTATAAAAAAATGTATATTAAAGAACATTTCTGTAAAATATCAATGACTAAATTTCTTATATTGAAATTATTGTTTAAAATACAAATCCTAATAATAAACTATTGATTTTGGTATCTTTGGAAGCTGTTTTCTCAAAACCTACAAAACTGATATGTAATAAATTAAGTATTCATAACTTGGCTAATTTTTAACCAATTTCCATCAAATAAAGACTGTTTTAAAGGAGAATTCATGCACAATCTAAATTTACCAAAAACTCAATTTTGAATTATTCCAACAAATGGCAGGTTTTTTCCGAGCCGGTCACATTTATCGTATGCAATTGGTCGCCATGACGATATTGTATTATTAATTGAAACTCAGTTACTCTGTGATCACTCCAACTGTGAAGAGAATGTGAAAATTAAAACATTTAATTGCTTGATGATTGCAGTGGTTGCCAGAAAGTGCACGGTATTGCATGCTGTGTGGTAAAACAGCTGAAGCATATTACACATTGATGAAGGTTGCCAGGCTTAATAAGAAATCAATGCCACCAGGTTTTCTGAAGCCAATTGAAGCAGCAGTAAGTATAGTTATACAATACATATATATATATATATATATATATATCTGTCTCTTAACTCTTTTAGACCCTTTTCTAATAAAATATACCCGCCTTAATCTAATGCTCTTAAAGAAAGTAGTTATGATTTATCCACCAAATTTCAGGCAGGTTGAAAACAGTTTGGCTTTTCCGATCTGTCGGGAAGTAATCAGGGAGCCATCCAGATTGCAGTCTAGCGATTGAAATGGAAACAATGAGCAAAGTTTAAGCCCTGTCCAGACTATCGAATTATATTTGCCCCATTGTTGTATGCCCATATATAGTCATGATGTGCCTATATATATGGTCATTATGTGATGTCATCATCACCATATTTAGGCATGTCACATGTTTTTGTCAAAATTTGACAGTCTGGATAGGGCTTTAGATTTTGCTATGTAATTTTATGAACTAATTAGTATTATTAATTATTCCAGCCACGTGGGAAATATTCAGATATGTTTGAAACCAAAGAGATGGGAATAACCACTATACTTCTATTCTATATTTGGTAAGAAATAAAAATACTTTAAAGGAGTATTTGAATACATTATGTTGTCTTGGCAACTACCTTAAATGCATGTTGAAGCCCTAAAACAATATTTTTACTTATATTTTTAGCATCTTATTTTATAACATTCATTTTTATAGAGAGATAACCCCAAGTCTGAATTTTATTATTAAATTATATGGATCTAATTTCACATGGTTCTAAAAACCACTATGAATTATGAATTTCATCCAATACCTTTCACAGATGTTCAGTTCATTACCAGCATTTTTTAAGCCTGTCATTACCCATCTGTTTTATGGTTTTTGTTCTCTATTTTACATAGGTTTACAGCTGCATTTGCATATTATGGTTTGGTGCTATTCACAACAGAGTTCCTTACAAAAACTGTAGATAACACTTGTTCAAGTTAGTTTTATCACTTTGGTTTTATTATTTCAACTAAAAGTTTAATTGAGTGGTTAAATAATAAATGTGTATATTATTCACATAATATATTACATATTTACTGTACATAAGTAGGGATCATACACATTTGAAGGCCAAGAGTGAATAATTTTGTTTATAATTCTTTATAATAAACAACAGTTTAGCTCAGTCAGCTAAACTAGTGGTATCCACTGAGTGTTCGCTGAACCGCAGAGACCCTTTGGTAACCGTTTCAATTCCATCCGCTTCTCTTCATGTCTTTCGGATGAGATGTGTTACCAATTGTTCCTGTGTGCATTATGGCTTATGTGCATGTTAAGTAATGCAATACACACTTTGGAAAAGAGCAAGAGATTGTATTCTTGCATCCTGTCCAATCACTACCAGAAGGACCCCACTGGAAATAAAGTCTTTAGAAACTCATGGGGTATTTTTGGTATTCACACTGAATAAAACCAATCTAGTTCAATAAATATAAAATTTAATTGGAAATGATGTTATGTTAAGTAATAAATCTTAAAGCTTCCTTTATGTTAGCAATAAGCAACGTATTGTTTCCCTGCAAAATTAAACAAAAGGAAACAAAACAGAAATAAGAGGGGTAAAAAAAAAAGAAACAAATTCTCTATTCTGAAGGTTTTACATTTATTATAATGATTTAATATGGATATTAGTTTAAAGCTATAAAAAATATCTCGCTTTGATTTCTATGTTTATAGTGGTTATATAGATTTGTGAGTTACATGTTTTCTTGTTTATTTTTTCTTTCAGGAAAAACATTAGAAAGTTTATCAAGGGGTTGTAACTTTTGGTGTGAAAGAATGGACACTCAAGATTACATAGATTTTATTAAGACTACATTTGCAGAATTTGTTGGTAACTATCTTAAATATCTGCCTTTTTAGCTTTACATGAGGAATTAATTTATCTTCAAAATAGATTTTGACATTGGCAGTTAGATATACACACCACAGTGGAACACTGCCGGTGAGCAGTGCAGCCCTGTGGTGTTAATCTTCTGGCAGTCCTGGTTAGTTCTAGGTTGGTTATTGGTTTAGACAATTTTCTCATTAAGTTCTCATACTATTCTCTTTGCTGTTTTGTTCAAGTTATATGTTACAAATATAACTAACCTCAGCCCCAAGCACAAACAGTGCGTTTATTTTCATTTTTGGTTATTGTTAGGATATTTTATGGCGTCATTCCATTTTTCAAGTTCTATTATGTGTAAAGTGCTTAGAAGCATTGTTTTGCATTAAGCGCTCTATAAGACTAACATTATTATTATTATATTGATATTAGCCTACATATATATAATAAATGTAGATGTTCAATGCTTATACATAATGCATTTATGTTTTCTGCTCTTGCAGGTATATTCTTTAACATAGTCGTCGTTGATATACTTGGACGCAAACGAACACTTTCACTTGTTTGTATGTTATTTTGTGTATTTTCATCGCTGCAGTTCTTTTGTTTATCAAGGTGTGTAAGTGATGTATTCTGATGGATGATGATCTCAAGGATCTATCATTGTAGCTTCAAGTAAACTTCTACCCACATGGCATTTAAATAAAAAAATTTAGGCGCTATACAATTTTTGGTTACAGTAGCTTACACTGACGTCACGGTGCTAAAGGGGTAAAATCGTAATGGCCTATAACTTCATAAAAAATTGCCAAAAAACAATTGTAAAGTTGATTTTATTACTAATGACATATGAAAAATCCCCTCTAGAAAAAAATCATCTTTATAGGTCCCTTTTAAACTTTTTTTTTTTCTGTTTTCAGGACCAATATGGTAATTTTTTTATTTTGTGCAAGAGGTTCTGTATCAGCTATATTTAATGTGGTGTTTATTTATACTCCTGAAGTAAGACTTTACTGTTCTCTTTTATATCAAGTAAATTTAAATTGTAAATAAAACCAGATGTTTCTACCATCCAATTTTATATGCTTTGTATTCTGTAAAGAAAAGAGCTATGAATAATTCATTAAATCATTCATTTTAATATCTATTAATCGATAATCTTTTCTAATTTATTACATAAAAAAAAAAATTTGTTACTTTGCAGGTATACCCAACCACTATCCGTGGATTAGCACTAGGTACTTGTAGTACAGTTGCTAGAGTCGGGGCTATTGTGACTCCATTCATTGCGCAAGTATTAATGGAAGTCTCCCCTACGCTTGCCATAGGGATCTATGCTGGAAGTGCTCTCCTTGCCAGTATATGTGCACTTCTCTTGCCGATCGAAACAACAGGTCGCTCTATGAAGGTAAGGAGAGTCGTATTAACACGGGTGATATCTTGATAAATTATTTCTCATGTTGTAAGACACTCCACTCCGTAAGCCTTGTAATGAAACAATCTGTAATTTCCCATATCAGTAACAGACGGATGTAAACTGTATAGCACTGAGTTTCCATGTGTAGGCCTGTACTTTTAGTACTCCATGTAGAGAGTCTATGTGTATGTTATATGCGAAAAATCGCATGAGCCAGTGTTTGGGTCATAGCAGCGCAATTGGTCATGCTAACAGTCATCCGTCTTCAGGTTTATTTGTTTCATTTAATTTCTTTGCCTTACAAATTTTATGTTTTGTCAAATGACAGTGTGTTCATCTTCTTGAACAAATCGGTACACAACAAGGTTATGTGCAGTTTCTCAATTTGCGCAATTTCATAAAACTGCTTGTTATTAAAAATAATGAATAAACTTATTGAGGAAAAGCATAAGAATGAAGTATTCAACATACATCATTGCTGTTTCTTATTTCAGAATAAAATTGACATAATTGCTGATATGGACAGTGAGCAGGAAGACTCTGAAGATGAGATATGATGGATGAACTGTGATCAAATTTGCTTTGATTTTGATATCTTTTATAGACTCTTGAAGCAGGGCACTAACTCTGAGATTGCAATGCAACGGTGCGCGCACAGCCAATCAGTTCACACTACCAACGACAATCAGCAGATGGTGTTGTATTGTCTAGCATTCACAGGGAGCCGAGTTGGTTTCATCGTCATTTTTTCGTGAGAAACACACTTGGTATAACCACGGAAAGCCAAAGACAGTGGGGAGTCATTTTAATGGTGGTTGCACTTCTCAGGCATATTACACAGAAGACCAACAGTTTAAATGCCTCACCTGAAAGACAGTGCACGCACTATTTTCATAACTTGTATTTCAGCCCTCAAGCTTCGATACAAGAGTAGCAGAAGGAATTAAATCAGGGACCAAAGGTAAAAATTTCCATGGTTCAGCGCACACACAGTGGCTGCCACCAGTTTAGCCGAATGACCTAACCTGTTCTCATTTCCTCCAGTACTAAAATCATGTGGTATGCATTCCCAATAGCTATTGGATGAAGATAGTGTAATTTTATTCCTTATATAGTAAATAGCTAAAAAATAACTTTACTTACACTTTACATGTTTTATACTTAGGCAAGTTAATACCTTTTAATTAAACAATTATTTTCATAAATCTTACCATTCCTATATTTTTTAAATAGGCTCTTATTTAAGGTAATACTGATAATTAATTACAGGGTATTTATTTAATCGATCTTTTTATATGAGCAATTCTTCGATTTTTATAGCAGATTTTACTACACACAGTTTATCCATAATATTATCAATATTTATTCTTATATATTTAATTGCCTTATATTTCTAATTATATACATATACATCTATTCATATGTTTATATTGTTGTTTGTAAAAAATAAAATATATTCACATTTATATTTACTCTGCCTTTTTACACTGTATTGGCAACACTGCAAGATGGTTTAAAGGTTGACCATGGTTGTAATTTATTTATGTGCACAATGAATAATATTTATTCTTATTTCTACTTCAAGATCTTTTTTCTGTTTCTATGAAAATTAATTTAAAACAAAAATGTTTGAGCTTTGTAAAGGATTACTGTTAAGGAACAAATTATGATGTCATGAAATTATGTATTTATAAATCGGATGTTTTACTGTAATTTCAAAACTAACAAGCAATGTACTGGCAAAAATTCACTTCAAGGTTTTAATTCATTATAAATAATTTTTCAATTTCACTATTTACATAAGTATTTTATTTAAAAAAAATGATCAAATGAAATGTTCAGTTTATTCACATTTTATATATTGAACTTTTTACATTAAAAATATTCATAACAAGGAAATGGAATTAACTACAAGATTCATTGAATACAAAAGCCATGTTCACAACCATTGCTACAACATTGGTTTATGTGTCCACACTATCCAATTTTATGTGACCAAATGTGATACTCCCATATTTGGGTGTAATATATGCAGGATTGGGGCTGCTGATAGGGGTCGTGAAGCTCAAGTGGGGGATCGATGATCAGTTGAGAGGGCACTAAATCACAAAATATGGTGATTTTACGTGCTTTTTAACAACTTGAACCATGATTTTTGTGGGAGCGCGATTAATTCTTGGAGGGGCATGCACCACCAGGTTTGTTGGAGCAACATTCACTTGTGTTACAGTATCTGAAAGGTACCCATCTCCTTCAAGTAAGCTCAACTATTTAGGTGGTTTGCCATCAGTGAAAAGCAAAGGAGTGTGTGTGACAATCAGATGCATCACATTATCTACCATGGTTCTGTTAGCCATGAATACCTGGCACCAGGCTACAATTTCTTCCTTCACAGTACGTCAACAGGCGTCCTAAGTCACAGGAGACTCCAAGAAATCGGATAGGCTTCAACCACTCCTGCGAGCAAGCAAAAATCTAATGCATATTCTACAAATCCATGGTATTTGCTACTGTATTACCAATTGTCTCTCAAAATTCAGCTTTTGATGGGTATCATGCACAGCAAAATAACCAGGACTGCTGCAATTATCCTCACTGTTGTTTTGAAAAAGAAGGTTCCTCTACAAACCAGTTACTTTCAACACCAAGGCTTAGTCACCATTACGTAGCCTAGCCCAAATAGCATCAGCGTTAACCAAAGTCCAAGCGAGTACTCAAATGAATCTCCCATGAATGCTCTCGTTAACGGGTAAAACGCTTCTTCAGGACACTTGTCTTGCTTACAAAGACTCTCATCTACATCTTTGAAATAACTGAAAATAAAGAAATTGGATTTTATATTATCTCATCTCACGTTAAATCCAAGTAGGTGGAAAAATGCATTCCTGGATAGCCTCAAACATGGAAGCAAATATTAAGACTGTCTGCTATGAACATGATCACTAATTGTGTGATGATCTCTAAAGTAAACTACATTTTTTTAAAATCCAAATTTAGAATGAGAACTATTAACCACTAGCCATTTATACAGTAAAATTGCATAGTTACTCACTTTATAACACGTTCTGGCTCAATTGCTGGTACCTTGGTGAAAGTAACCCAATTATTAAGAACAAACTGCTGGACGCGCTCACTACCAATGACGGTTGCATTCTGTTGGCAACTGGCACTGTTACCACCAGCACAGTTCAACTGCAGGGTCTTAGTTTGGTAACTTAAATAGCAAAATATACAGTAATAATCATAATGACATAAAATTATTCTCTTAATAATAGGCCTAAAAAGTTTCTTTTGCCAAAGTCAGACAGACCAAAAATATTTTAAATTCTAGAGTTAAATTCTTCCAATATAACGAATTCAGAGAAATATTTTGTAAGTAAATAAGTGGCCCAATTAAATGCGATGAGCCTATCCATGCTACTAGGCTAGTTGGGATAACAAGGTAATTTATCAATTATTGTTTTGAGGGCACTGATTGGTCAACAGAATACTTTAGGGCCATACTTTCCTCCAGAAATTAATGGCTCCTTTAGGTTGTACTTTCCAACAGTGGCCACAAATCTTTACAACAAATGATCAATTTAAAAATACAGTCACCTTGTTATCCCATCTATGTTAGTCTCAACACATTTGACTGGGGTTGCCTAGCAACAAAATATTTCTTTGAATGCTGACTTTTTATAATCACTGGAAGGTACCTTATTTTAGCAGCAACTACTTCTTGTAGAATAAGCCCTTTGGACATACCAGCATCGGCGTACATAATATGAAGATGAACACTAACAGGCATATGGTAACAAGTGCCAATCAACTCGGCTAATACATCATTCACTCTCTCCTGGTAGGGCTCCACAGTTGACACCACCTCATACTCAATAGGCTCCCTTAAAGAATGTGTAAAGGAGAGGGCAAGATTCAAATTTGTTAATAGGGGAAAATTTGCTTGGGAAGAGTAACTTGGTTAGGATAGGATAGGATAGGAGCATTTCGGTGTGAATCACACCAAGGATAACCCACAAAATCCAAAGACTTGTTTCCAGTGGGGTCCTTCTGGTGGTGAATTGGGCAGACTCCAAAGAGTGTACTGCATTCTTTAACGTGCACATCGGCCATATTGCACACAGAGTCAATGGCTTAAATGTCTCATCCAAAAGACGGTGCGCTATTGTAACTTGCATTTCAGCCCTACAGCTGAAACACAAGGAGAGCAGCGATGGGAATTGAACCAGAAACCTAAAAATCTCCATGGTTCAGCGCACACACAATGGCTACCACCAGTTCAGACGACTGAGCTAAGCTTGGATACAATTGGTGGTTAAATTCTTCCAATATAACAAATGTGGCCTAGTACCTACTTAAAATGCACCTTTACCTGAATATTGTGATCCAATCGTCATCATTGTATGAGCTGGCGTTGCCAATCTTTGCGATCCTATCAGCCTGCATGAGGGCTCTCAGTTGAGTCTCAAGCTCCTGCCGCAATATAGTACAGTTATCAAGTTCTGATAATCCTACACGGTATATGCAGCCAGACATCAAGTCCTCGCCAAATGTTATGTCTTCATATGCTGAATCCTCACATAATCCACTTGAACCTGAAAAACAATAACATTTCCAGTAGTAATAATTATAAGAAATTATAACTAATAATAGTAATATTAAAAAGCATTGATAAATTTTTAAAAATACAATTTGAAAGGTAGTGATGATGGATTTGATTGGATTTATTTGCTGTATATATAAGCCACAATAATTGTTAAAAAAAAAAAAAAGAAACATTACCTGAAGCAATATATTTTAGACGACTGTTCAATGATGTATCTATGTATGAAAACAGCATTTCCCCCGTAGTTGGGTCGCATTCAGTGCTGTTGAGGGTACTATCATTACAAGCTGGGTTTGGAGTTGACACATTCACCTGTTCATAAACTGTAGTCCCACTAAGCAAAAGTTCACCAACCTGATATCCGGGATTACCAGACCTTTTGAACACCTCCTCCGGAATCTCAACTGCTCCTGTTTCATCGTTGTTTGTTATTGGTAGCTGATGGGAAAACTTTACTGAATATTTTGGGTTTAGCATGATACCAGAAGACTGAATAGGAACCGAGCCGAGAAACACAGCACCTTTCAAAATGAGTACTTCCCCACCTTGCCAGACAATCTCATACTGAACCTCTACAACTGAGTGATCACATGTCTGTGTGGTGTTGCTGTAACTTGGATCCGGTGGTCTTGTGAAGTCATCATCCCACACACAGCGTGAGTATGGCACCTGCTGTTTTCCACCGACATACGGCAAAGATTTTGTGTACAAACCATATACAGATGCAGTTTCATTGCTCTGTAAGTAGCCAGAGAGATCATCCAGACAGAAGTATTCGATTTGACTCACTGCTACCCTATCAGTGACATATCCGAAAGCACTGATGACCTCTGGAGGGTCAGGGCAAGGCGGGTAGGTCGTATCTGACGACTGCACAAACAAACTGGCATTTAATGCAGAAGATGATGAGCAGGTTTGTTGTGTTATATTCATTACACATGTAGAATTTGAATCAACTTGATACTTTACTGCTGAAGTCCACAAGCAACTACCACTAGCCCCCTGCTGTGGCAGGGCTAATAGCCCGATAATATTGTTCTCGTAGATTAACTGAAGCGGTGCTCCGTACTGGTAGCCTTGACTTGAAGAAAACTGTGAGGTGTCTAACGCACGATCTTCGCTTTCTTCAAATGTTGTGTAATTGGTTGGTAGTGCTGACTGTAAACTTTCAAAGCCTTGGTTGTCTGTTGCACCAGATACAGATGAGAAGTAATACCCAAGAAAAAGTTTATTCACAGTTTCTACACACAGGAATGGAAACCAATCCGGACGGAAAATGTCTGTATTTTCGCAACTATATTCCCATTCCTCAGTAAAGTCCCCACCAGGAATACCAGGAAGGCATGGAAACAAAGCCAGGTCGTCCTCAGTACAATCCTGTAAAAATAAACCAAGGAAAAGAGGTGCTTCACTATTTTGTACAAAATAATCAATGAAGTCAATTCCATAATATACAAGATACATAAGCCAAATGCCACAAGGAAAGAAAACAATATAGAGATACACTTACCATATCACAGCAGCATAGTGGATCACAATGGTCTGCAGTAAGGTCACAATTACAAGGACCAATCTCAACATATGCTGGATTTGGCAATTCACTCTCATCAGTAAGATTACTGCTATCTGAAATTTTGAAGCAAACTTGCATCAATCTATTATACATAATACCTACATACCACCACAGATAGCATTTTTCTTTTGCAACAGTTTATCCAGCTTTTGAAGGAGTAAGTGCACAAGATGTTTGACCTTTCACCAATTATCACCTGAGGCAAACATTGTATTACAATGACAACTGACAACTGATATGTAAATATTATTTTATATACTATTACAATTTACTATTACAATTTACTATTACAATTTTTCAATACTTATTATTATTCTATGGTTACACATGATTAATTACAGGGACCCCAAGTCTCCCGCAAGTTGTTTAAGTTCCGGGAATTGGGTCGGCCTCATGCCCTCCCGCAACCAGACAAGAATCTCCCGGAAAATAACCCATCTCCCACAAATTCATTAATATCAGGTGTTGACGAGAGCTCTAGTATCTGGATCGGGAGCTAACCGTTAGGGCTAACTGTTAGCACCTGTGTAAAAATGCCTAATTGGTTAGCGCTAACTGTTAGCAGTATCCGGATACTGCTAACGGTTAGCAAGCGCTATCAGTTAGCAAGTTGAGCGCGTTTCTATCATCAACCAATCACACGTACATGTTTACAATTTCCAGTTTCATATTGACCAGTGATTCGATCATCATATTCTTGGTATCTGGATCAGGATCTTCTTGTATGGATGCACGGCAGCTAACGGTTAGCAGGATCCGGATCCTGCTAACCGTTAGCTGCCGTGTGAGAACATAGCCTATATCTGCATGTTTTTCCAGCTGTATTACCCCTTTATTATCATTTGTCTCACTGAAGTCAGAGTCGATGTTATATTGCATGTATTGGGGGCCTTAATGATCAGCTTGGTGGATATCCTCACAAAAATATTGTTCCAATAACTTTAGGTCAGTGTTACCTGCTGCAAAATCCCAAATGATTTCTCTGTCCTCAGAAACATCTACAACCATGAGCAGTGCAGCTGATTGGTTCATGTACTGCGTGTTCTGGTTGAAGTCAGCTGATGCACAGCATGTTAGCACGAGCAGCCCTTGGTAGGCTTCACCTATGTTGTTATAGACTGCCTCCACTTTTTTGAACAAATCTCCACTCTACAGAGATTAAGAATAATGAGAGTAAAGAGATTTGATGGCACAATGATGATGGCACCAATGAAGGACTGATGATGATTATAACAATGATGATGGTGATTATGATTATTATGACAACAACCACCAATGCATACTGATATCTAGAATGAGTTTGTTGACAGTCAGGTATACACTACCACATATTGTCAGACACTAGGGAACTTGTCATTGCATGATGCGGTAGGACGTACAACGTTCATCTGTGCATGCGAGAATGTTAAGTTGTGTGGATTCTAAAATGCATTTTGTCTGAATCTATGTTGTGCAGAGAACGCAGGAGTGAAGAGGTACTGGCTCCCTATTGTCTAAGAGTGACTGCTTGTTTCAGACATCATCTTATCAAATGAATCATGTAGGCATAATGTGTCAAGTTCTTAAGGGTCATTCTGTGAGACAATTTTTGTATCATGTCTTTTTGTATCTTGAATCTTGCTGTGTGTGATGATAACCATGTCAGAGCAGGTGGCCAATCTGACTTCCGGAAGACTTTTGGGAACACTTGGGAACACTAAATTTTCAATCGATATTCACTTACATCAAAAACGATAACTGACTCAACCAGGATCCAGTTGCTGTCCCCCTCCAATGGGGTATCCTGTGTTGATGATGGTTGGGTAATAGCAGCAGGGGTGGTGGTGGTATCCTGTGTTGATGATGGTTGGGTAATAGCAGCAGGGGTGGTGGTAGTAATGACACATGTGCTATTAACACATGGAGGATCTGAAATTAAAATTGGTTCTACATGTAAATCATCAAGTAAGAATAGGTAGCTTGTATATCTTTAGATGAATCTGATCTAATGTCTTTTTTTTGGCAAATTACCTATGGTTCTGGTGGTAGAACATGTCTTCTCAGATAAGGACTATAAAGTGTAGGCCCAGTACTGGTATACAATGGTTCATGTGCACAATAAAGAACCCAGTACATCATTTGAGACAAGAAGGGGGGTACCAAAGTGTACCGGGACAGACGGCCACTGTGATGACGACGAGAGCTGCTGGTACCGGGTTATCGGGTAGCACAGACAAGAAGGGACCCTTGAGGCGAAGAAAGTCATTGATCAGGTTTCTAGTCCACATACTAAGTGCCCTGAGCATGCTATTTGATGGATACGGCGCTATGTAAAACTACACTATTAAAAAGTACAATCTTGCACCAACAACAGCAACACAAACAACAGAGCAACAGCAACAGTAGCATTAGCAACAGTAGCAGCAGCACCAACAACAGCAACACAAACAACAGAGCAACAGCAACAGTAGCATTAGCAACAGTAGCAGCAGCACCAACAACAGCAACACAAACAACAGAGCAACAGCAACAGTAGCATTAGCAACAGTAGCAGCAGCACCAACAACAGCAACACAAACAACAGAGCAACAGCAACAGTAGCATTAGCAACAGTAGCAGCAGCACCAACAACAGCAACACAAACAACAGAGCAACAGCAGCATTAGCAACAGTAGTAGCAGCACCAACAACAGCAACACAAACAACAGAGCAACAGCAACAGTAGCAGCAGCACCAACAACAGCAACACAAACAACAGAGCAACAGCAGCATTAGCAACAGTAGCAGCAGCACCAACAACAGCAACACAAACAACAGAACAACAGCAACAGTAGCAGCAGCAACAGTAGCAGCAGCTCCAACAACAGCAGCACCACCAACAACAGCAAATAAACGCCATCACCAAGTATGATAATAATACAAGCGCAATAGACAGTACAGTATTAAATATACTTTTAAACCATTGACTTGATTGACAAGCATTGTGATGAAACCCACTTACACTAATTTCAGTGGCACCAATAGGTGCTGTCTCATCCGTAAACTCAAGTGATAAAAAATCATCTCCTGTAGAAAGATACATGCCCAACATTTAGACCAATTTTTAAGTGAAATTATATAGTAGGTCAAACAACGGTTGTATGATAAATCCAATTCCACTCCCTATGAATGTTAGACGGTGAGACGCCGTATGCTGATTGTCGGTGGCAGCCTGAATGGATCGTCATTAAAATGGTTGTTGCACGCGCTGCGGCATTGCATTCTCCATAGAGTCGTCTCAGCCCACAACCGTCAAACCAAGCGAGTGCCTGGCTTAAATAATGTTGGATAAATTTTGTACATCATTTGCTGAAGAGTGCCTCATTTTCCAACATAGAAAAACGCAAAATATTTATTTGATCAGATATGTCTGAACCAAGTCTACAGCCCTGCCAAGACATGCACTCATGACTCACTTGTTTGCCTAGTACTTCCAATTATTATTTTCCAAGTGTTGCGTCTGTTGTACGTGTTGTGTTTTGCTTCTGTTAATTGTTTTCACAGTTGTGGCGCCCATGATTTCTGTTTAATGCTTTACTACATGCAGCTGAACTATGAGATTTGGTGTGTGCTTTATAACCTCAAGGAAAAGCAATATAAATGCTCGTACCAGTACCAGTATTATCAAATTTTATTTGACAAAAACTTATGACATGCCTAAATATGGTCATGACGACATCACATCATGACCATATATATGCACATCATGATTAAATACGGGCAACAGTTTTTTATTAAGAAAATTTGATAATCTGGATAGAACATGATCAAACACTGTTGATTGAATTTGACAGATAACAATTTGACAGTATAAACCCAGATTTATGTTGTACCTTGATAGTCAGGATCCACATCACATGTGATATTTACATCACTTCCAGCTACTTCTTCCCTGAAAAAAAATAATATATGTAATATTTAAACAAATAATATTTCAATATTATGTTCTATTTTTATTTTACCCTGGTATTTTAATGCCACTGTATAATTTATGACATGGAAGAAAATCATAATCATCATAAAGAAAATCATAAAGAATACCAGGTAAAATATATATGAGGTTTGCCATCAATACAATAGAGTTTGAATTTGAACATGCATTCTATAGACGCTGCATGTGCACGATACCAACACCTTACAATACAATAGAGTTTGAATTTGAACATGCATTCTATAGATGCTGCAAGCGCATGATACCAACACCTTACAATACAAGAGAGTTTGAATTTGAACATGCATTCTATAGATGCTGCATGCGCATGATACCAACACCTTACAATACAATAGAGTTTGAATTTGAACATGCATTCTATAGATGCTGCAAGCGCATGATACCAACACCATACAATACAAGAGAGTTTGAATTTGAACATGCATTCTATAGATGCTGCAAGCGCATGATACCAACACCATACAATACAAGAGAGTTTGAATTTGAACATGCATTCTATAGACGCTGCATGCGCACGATACCAACACCTTACAATACAAGAGAGTTTTAATTTGAACATGCATTCTAGAGACGCTGCATGCGCACGATACCAACACCTTACAATACAAGAGAGTTTGAATTTGAACATGCATTCTATAGACGCTGCATGCGCCACGATACCAACACCTTACAATACAATAGAGTTTGAATTTGAACATGCATTCTATAGACGCTGCATACGCACGATACCAACACCTTACAATACAATAGAGTTTGAATTTGAACATGCATTCTATAGATGCTGCAAGCGCATGATACCAACACCATACAATACAAGAGAGTTTGAATTTGAACATGCATTCTATGGACGCTGCATGCGCACGATACCAACACCTTACAATACAAGAGAGTTTGAATTTGAACATGCATTCTAGAGACGCTGCATGCGCACGATACCAACACCTTACAATACAATAGAGTTTGAATTTGAACATGCATTCTATAGATGCTGCAAGCGCATGATACCAACACCTTACAATACAAGAGAGTTTGAATTTGAACATGCATTCTATAGACGCTGCATGCGCACGATACCAACACCTTACAATACAATAGAGTTTGAATTTGAAAATGCATTCTATAGATGCTGCATGCGCTGCCTTGAAATGGGATTTTGGTGCGAAAGGGATCGAGCTTGAAACCTACTCAATGTTTTTGTTTATATCCTTGGGTATTAAGTCATTTTAATTATTGTACATTATGCTTTGAATAATATTCCATGTACACTGTAAATTATTTTGATTACGCGGATGATGCATAAAAAAATAGCTCAAATTTGAGGCAAAATCTGCACGGAAATTGGCCCTTATATTGCAAAATGCGCAGCCTAACTTTTGCAGAGAATATATCCCCTGTCTCTTATACACATCTAGATGTGTATAAGCGCATGATACCAACACCTTACAATGCAAGAGAGTTTGAATTTGAACATGCATTCTATAGACGCTGCATGCGCACGATACCAACACCTTACAATACAATAGAGTTCGAATTTGAACATGCATTCCATAGACGCTGCATGCGCATGATACAAACATCTTTTACATTCTTTTGAATGACTCCCTCTAGTTTGTGGTAGTATTTTTGAGAGAGGACTGCATTTCCAGGGAACCTCAACAGTCGGACCTCTTGCTATTCTATACTCCTATAGCACTCTATAATTGAGTTGTTTTCTTTTAACATTTTGTCTTTAATTAATTCCAGCATACAGATAGCATTGTTGTTTAAATATATTGTACAAATGTCGTTCTATGTAAACATTGTGCAATTCAGCTATACCTAACAGTTGATATAATAATAAAATTAATTGAAAATTGCAATTAATGGGCAAATACATACGAAAGTTGTAGAGTAATTTCTTGTGTATACGTTTCATCAAGCAGATAGGGGACAACAACCATCTCTTGGCAGATGCTAACAACTGGACTCTTCACCACAGCAACAAACCTTAAGATCCATTAAAACTGTTAGTCAATATAGGTAGGTGTACTTGTATGTATTTAAAAGCTAAATTTTGCCAAAACAAGGCATGAATGGGCACATAAAATACACAATTTTAATTCCTCAACAAAATTCTTGCATGTAAATAATGTACCATGCCCACTGTCTGATGCACACCAAGAGAAAGTTAAATTGGTTTCAATTAATAATGCCTTACCCAGTGCTTCCCTCTGTACTATTTTGGAAGAGACTGCCCTCAGTGATACTTGAACCTTGACACCTGACCTCTACTGCCCGTCCTTGATTACCAATGCTGTAATACATCAAATCAGCAAATACTATCAAAATTTTAAAGTGTGGCATAACAATCTAAATACAAAATTAAAACCTGATAATTCATTTTTTAACTCTTAATAATTTAAGCAAATAATTCTTCCTCTATTACAAGTACATTTTTCTTAAGAATAAATACTTTTATTTCATAATTTTATAATTGGCTTGGTTAGGCACAGAACAAAATGAAGTTTGGAAATGTTTATAAAAAAACTACTTACTCAAATTTAATGAAAGTTTGCTTAATGTTTGGTAATACCTTTGGCACAAACTGAACAGTTGTATCACCTTCAGTGTAGGGTGTTACAACCTCACAGTATACTGTTATCTATAGAAGAAAAAAACACAAAACATCATCAATTTTTCTATACTTTCACAAAGTAAGATATTAGTATGAGGGAAACTGATTTACAGTGTGTTATAGGTAAGACTAAATTGGAAAATACAGCGGAGGCAGCTCCCTATCATTTGGACTCATAGAGTAAATTTGTGATTGTGTTACATTGATGAGAAAAATGTTAATGATGGTGATAATAATGAACAGTGATTATGATTATGATGATGAGGAAGGTAACGTTGATGATGATATGAAGAACGATTATGATAAAGTTAAGATAATGATGGCAAAATGAGAATAAACTGTTGGATGGTGATAAGGATGGACATGATAACAAAAATAAATAATGATGGTAATAATAACAAAACACTTAATCTTAACCAAATTATTCACTCAATTGCAGATGTTGACGAACCTCGTGAACGAGGTTTGTCCAAAACTGATCACATGATTGACTTACATCTTGGTCTTGAATGATGTCATTTGGCACAAAGGCTTTTGAGGTAATGTTATAGACTGCTAGTGTTATTGGAAGTTCACCATATTGTTCGTTGATTGACACCGTAAACAAATCTATATTTGTATCATTAATAACAGCATCTGTTCCTACATTTACAACACCAACAAGATCTGTAAAATAAAAGTTGGAACAAAATGTTTTTTTTTTTAAATTTTAGCTAGAGTGCATTGGCCTACACTTGATTTAAATAATTACACATTATGTAGGCCTAATAGCTTACACAGGGTGCTCACTGACAATTCACGAAGTTGTCAAACTAACAATCGTTTTAAATACTAGTAGAGAGTGCCTTGAAATGGGATTTTGGTGCGAAAGGGATCGAGCTTGAAACCTACTCAATGTTTTTGTTTATATCCTTGGGTATTAAGTCATTTTAATTATTGTACATTATGCTTTGAATAATATTCCATGTACACTGTAAATTATTTTGATTACGCGGATGATGCATAAAAAAATAGCTCAAATTTGAGGCAAAATCTGCACGGAAATTGGCCCTTATATTGCAAAATGCGCAGCCTAACTTTTGCAGAGAATATATCCCTGTGCAGGCCGTATTTACAGTCTGGTGCTCACTAAAGAGTACTGTATGGAAAGTGTACTGAACATGTTTGAGCTGTTCTGCACATCCCCAGGATGTAGGAATCCAAAATACTAGTTATTATATTTTCAACATTTTATTATTTTATCCATTTATTTTACTAGCCTATACTTAAATCCCATACTGTAAATTTTTTTAATTGCACTGAGGATATCCAAAAAAATCAGCTCAAATTTGCGTGAAAAATCGCTAGAAAAATAGGTGTGCAGAAACGTAATTACTGCAGAATTGCATTGGTTATATAGATTTGTTCAAAGCCTAATTTTTGGCAAAATCTGCATGGAAATCGGCCCGCATTTTCCAAAAATGTGCAAATGGATTTCTGGGCCAAGTTTTTGTGCAGAGGATAGGCTATTCCCTGTGCAGGCCTTACTAGCCTAGGACCTATACAGTCTGGCCTAAATAAGTCCAAGTATAGACCTTACAAATAGGCACTACTTTGTACATAAGCTACCAATCTATGTAAACAAAAGAACATTCTGAATCTGAGTACTCACCTTCTGATTGTGTAAAAGTATTAACAATAAAATTCAGAGAGCACAGGAAAATCAAAATTCTATGAGAAAATCGTCTTAAAACTGAGGAATTCTCCATATTAAAAGTACTGAATGCAAGCAATTTGCCTCTTCATCAAAGCTGATCTACATTCTCCTTCTTTTAGGGCTAGTTCAAGATACAGAATTTCCTAGGCCGTTGTGATCACCAAACTTGCACACGCGATCAGGCAAATCAGGGCCCTCACTTCTCAGGATTGGACCTCTCTCGATCAAAACAACTGGCCTAGCCTACCCTACCTAGATAGGACCCTAGTATTTAGGCTACCAAACACCTAGGCCTAGCTAGAAAAGTATGGCAATTCACTCCTCAAGCTTCCACTGCATTTGAAGTAGGACATTCGCGATTTTGTCCCATAATTTTCTACATATATCACTAATATTAATGAAACAATAGATCACTTTTTGCAGCAGCTAGAAAAGAAATGTTTGTATTTTGTAGCAACTAGTGAAGTTAGAGGGCGCAATGTATGGTGGTTGCCGTTCAGCTTTTTCTCACTGTGTGTGGAGCCAATTGCATTATGATTGCTTGAGACTTGCTATCCAAGTTGGAACGAAGAAAATCCCTCCATGATCTGATTATATGAGCTTTCTTAGGATATTTAATTTCATTTTTGCTGCGCATGGTGATACCCATTGACACTGACTTCCGTGAGACAATTTATTTAATAGATTACTCTATATTTATATTGTGTTTGTTATGAAGTGTCTTCACATGGTGATCTATATAATGAGCAGGGACGTAGCCAGGATCTGTCTCTTATACACATCTAGATGTGTATAAGAGACAGGTCTGATGCACACCAANNACCCCGGCGGGGTCAAATCCCCCTGTGAAGTAACGCACTCTGAACGTTCTTAGGACTGTTTGAGAGGATAAAGTGAAAATTGCAATAGACGCATTATAGATAAGCGCAAAAATAATTATATAATAAATCAACAGTGGCAGATCCAGGAATTCGAAAGAGAGGTGAACCAGGGAGGAACTTTCACAGACCGAGGAACCACCCACCTCAGTCCCACCATGGTTGGGGCTGAGGTAAGAAAATTTATGATTAGGGCATCTCTAAATGGCTGGAAATTACACTCTTGTACTTAAATTTGAATATATTTTTCTTTCTTTTTTTTTCCTTAAAAAAAAAATGAAGGGGTGGGGGGCCTTGAATCCACCTCTGCTCAAAACATTCTTAATCCAGAATAGTCATAATCACGAAAAATGTACATGAAAAACCAGATCACATCCTAAAAACAAACAGCAGTCACTAAGACATACATCAGGAGCCAACGACTCGATGGAGTTTAATGTCATACCCAGAGAAGGGCACAGATCTGTTTTGAAAGGTGGAGGGGGAGGGCATTTTGTGAGTCGACACCCACCTCAGCCCCACAATGGTTGGAGATGAGGTGAGAAAATTTGAGGAAATAGTACCTCTAGATGGCCAGAAATGATACTTTTAGTAAAATTCATCATCATCACATCACCATTAGTCAAAATGAAGCGCCAAAAAAAATTTTCATGATCTTTTATCATGGATTTTTGAGAATGTGGCTTTTCTCTGATTTTGTATTTCTATGTGTTTTCCGGAATAAATAAATGAAATGAAATGATAATGCCAAGTAGTGAAAACATGCAAATAATTATGAATTTGCAGGAGACTCTTGCTTGTCAGAGTGCGGGAGGCAGCCCCGATTTCCAGGAGATTCCTGCGACTTCTGGGAGACCCCAGTCTGATATAGAAAACGATGGCTGTAATCATATGCTTTAAAATGGATACAGTTAATGTATGGCATAAAATAGAAAGTGCAAAAGTGAATCTTTTTATAAATCAAATTTAGTAACTGTGTCATAGGACATGCCAATTAAATTCTATATCAGAGCTAGTGCTGGCAAGCATATGATTGGATTATTCTTGAGTGGAATTATTTCCTCCAATCCTTGTGATTACCTGAGCAATATTATAATACATATCAAAACAGAATTAATTTGTTTGGTATGAGTCAAAAATTGTAATCCCATTCATAAAACCAGCATAACATAAGTTATAAAAACATTAATATTATTAATATTATTAATGGCCATTGTACAGTACTGTATTCTTTTTATTTAAAAACTGAACTCTATTTCATGAGGTTGGTGGAATACGATATTTTTGTGTCCTCGTGTTTAGTGTTTGACGCTAATTAGTATGGTATGAGGGTTAATTATAAAAAGTAAAATGTGAACCTTTGCTCTTTAAAAAAAAAATCTAATTTTAATGGTTTTTTATTATGTATATTGGAGTAATTTTGATGATGATGGTTTTGGTCTTGCCTATATTGTTACCTTTGTGCAATAGTTTTTCACAAACTGAATTTTAGTATTTGAACCCATACTTATCTGGTGTTTTGTTTGTTATTCATTTGTAAATTTACATGAAATTTTGCTCTGGCCATGCTTTGTAAATATGTATTGAATAACGAATAAAGAATTATTCTGTTATTAATGAGGGGTATCTAGTCAGCAGGTGATAAAGTGTTTTCTTTGTACTGTTGATCATAAAATAAAATTCACATGACATACAAGTATTTTTTAAAGATAAGGATTGTTATGATAATAAATCGGACATAGAAATTTACGACAAGCCAGAGATGAATTTTGAGCCAACTTTAAAATACCAATATTTAAAAAACACATAAACAATCCTGTAGTAAAAATTACACTATTTATTACCAAAATCATACAACAGAATACAACATTTTGTGTTCTTACATATTCATATCAATTATATACACTGCATTCAAGGCTAGATTGAAAAATGAATTGGCGACGAATAAATTTCTTTGTTTCCCCTGAAGATTTAGAAAAAATTAACAAATTTGAAAAGAAACAAATCATAAACACCTAATTTTGTTTAGAATTTGGTTGACAGGATTTCACTGAGGATGGCACTACCAAAATATTTGAAGACGTCAGTATTGTACATTAGTTGGTGTCTCATTTTGGACCCTAGATAATTTGGCTGAATTGAGTCTAAATCCACACTCAAAACACCGAGTGAATTAGAAATTTTGCACCCCTCCACTTGAGAGAATTATATCACTTAAGAGAGCTGAATTCACAACAGTGGGGAGGTTGACTTTAATGGGGGCTGAAATCCCTGTCATACAGGCATCGCAGAAGAACAATAAGCACTCAACTGTAAGTTGGAACAAATTGTATATTTGACATTTCATTATATTTCTTTGTACAGTAGTAGATGCATTGAGAGGGAAAACTCTTCCCTATGACAGTGACCATGTTCAGTGCCTCAAGATAATGCCACATATACACAATATGGCTAAAGTGAGATATGCAACTTTTAATACTAGGAATGTCAATATCTATACTAGCTGACAACACTTGACAAGGTATTAACATGTGTCACAACTTCTGCAGAGGTTAAACTCTTTCACAATAAAAAAAAAACAACAAAAAACTGATCTATTTATCTATTCAAGAACATTTTTAGATACACTTTCAATCGATAATATTTAGAAGTTTGTTGTTAGTTTCTAAATCTCTGTCCACACAACATCAAGATTTATGTTGACATTGTTGTTAAATCACATGTTCTATATAGTGTGGACATACCTTACAACACAACAAACAATATTTATTTCCTTTGTAACAACCATTAGAGATTATTTGGAACAATTAGACAGTACATTAAAAAATAACCTACAAAAGATACGAACACAACCTGGGAGAAATAATTCTATTTACACCTTATCTGCAAACAAATATTACTCAACACAGACTTCCTACTTTTAACACCAACAAATTTTAAGCCTACCGCGCAAGAGTGGCTCCAACTCAACTAACCAACTGCCTGCTTCATGCGAGTAAAATTAAGTTTGCTGACAGACTATCTCGCAAGTCTAGCAGATGCTTTTAAACTGCTTATGCATCGGAGTAATCACATCTTTGTTCTAGTCAGTTCTAATTGAACAACAGTATTCAGATGTGAGAAACATAAGAACTTTCCATCTTTTTTTGCATTAATTCAGAAGAGTGCTTATACACAAATCAAAATAATTAATTACTTTGTTAAACTCTACAAATGGCTTTAAAAATATGTGAATTTCCATTGTTGAGCGACCAAATTACAATACCAAAATAGACATAAAAATTATTTAGAATGGAAATTCTATAAAAAGTGCATTACAATAATATTGTTTCAAAGTAGGTATTAAAAAATGAAAAAATATTTTAAAATATTTTACTAATGAACAACAAAAATAAGCCCCTTAAAAAAAATAAGTACTTTTATATTAAATGATTTTAAACTAAAAAAAAAAAAAAAGAAAAATCACATTTTAAAATTGATAATGAAGTAAATGTAAGAAATTAAGCATTCAGCGTATAAAGTGTGGATAGAGCCCATTGCACTTATTATCCTAAATACAAGTTAAATATTGACCTCCACTATACTGTGCTGCTCTAGCGAGCACTACTCTACAATCCGATTGGAATCACAATGCATTGCACATTAACAAATCGCATGCCATGTTGATATTCAAATCAAAACTTTCTACAGGATATTTTAGAATGTCCATAGTGGTCAAATATCTGAGTGTACGTATACTACGAATGACTACTGATATACTTGAACAATAAGCTGATGCATGTGTTAAAATTTATCTTGTTTTTATAGTGAACAAAACACCTGTAATTGACTTTGAATCAATAATTTAACAAACTTCCAGGAAAGGCTACTACATCCATCAGGTGAAATAATAATAGTGCTTGCATACAGTGATACAATTTTGAAAAGTAAATCTGCATATTCACAAATATACACAAATCATATGTTATATTATTATTATTATTATTATTGTTATTATTATTATTATTATTATTATGATTAAAACTTAATTTTGTCACACAAGCTGGTCTCAACCAGAGGGTGGTAAAGGACATACTGACCACAAATCTGATATGAAAAAATTTCATTTTCTGTATTAAGAACCCATTCCCTGAAATAGACTTAGCAATTATTTAATAAATCTATAAATTTGCTGCTTCTAGTATTTATATGTTAGTAAAGATAACTACAATCAAAACAAAGATTTGTAAAGTCCACATATTCTTTTTCTCTTAAAAAAAAAGCCTGGAGATAGAAAGAACACCATGACAGTTGGAAGAAGTCATTTTCAGGAAAATGAACTTTCCTAACGCATCTAATTATTTTTTGCTGTTCCTGATGATACCTATTGACAATGATAATAAAGGTGCAATACAACAGTAAAAACATGTAGATTTAATTAATTTGCAGGAGACAGGTTATTTTCCCGGAGATTCTTGCTTGGTTGCGGGAGTGCAACGGGCTGTCCAGATTACTGGGAGGGAGACTCCTGTGGCTCGTGGGAGACTTGGGGCCCTGCCATTAATTTATGAAGACCCACAACTTTGGGTGTTTTGAGGCAGGAAATAATTTAAATGTCCTAAACCTTCACACTCTGGTGGTTTTTAGGCTCTGATGTAAGATTTTCTTTACTACTTAAATTAATCATTTGTATAATTGTATGTTACTTTATAGTGAATTTTGTCTAAAGAGCCACTCAGTGCATATATTTTTCCACACTTCATGAATGAGAGTTATCAACTGTGTTATGTTATTTTATTTTTATCCAGAAATAAAAAATTAGAATTTGAATACTTTGTAAGGTTGCAACAGAAGGGAAAAGTCCCCTTAATGAGCCTCATTTAATTACTGTACGGCCTGAAAATGGTTTAAATGTTGGCATTAGAACTTACTAATAGAAAATAACACTAGTTGGATTGGGGTTAAGAGGCCCTATTAGGTGATTTTTCCCAGGGCCTCCAAAAATGTATCTACATTGGGTACAATGTTCAGCTGAGAACAACGCATATGGAGTAGCTAGATAACATGTTAGCAGTCAAATAAAGCACATCCGCTGTATTCATGACTACATCCGTGAAATGTTTATGAGGTACATTAACATTAATGAAACCAATCCAAGTCTGCAGAACAGCTGATGATATAGTGAACACATACCTAAGGCTTTATACAGTATTCATGACTAAAGATGTTCCCCTAGCTATGACTGTTCTAATGGGGGCTGGAAACTGACACAATATACAAATGGGGACTTGGGATTAACATAAATATACAAATGGGAAATGTACATAATTCTTCTAAACAAACACTGTAAATATACCTTGAATCATACAGTGCAAAACACAAAGAAAATGCATAAATACATCAGAAAGTGATATGGGCTTATGACATCCAAAATGTACAATGTTTAGTTATTGAAGACTGATAAAGTTGACTGTTATAATTGATGATGCAGCAGCATGCAATGAGAAAGTTCATGACAAAGTAGTAGCAATAATGAAAGATAAGAATTATTCACTACTTAGAAATTATCAATGATTAAAATCTGGTTGGTGACTTATTGCCGCACGATGCAAGAGTAAAACAATCATCAAATTAATTTGTTCCAGTCAAGAAGATTCAATGTATAATAGAGATAACGTTTATTGATGTCTCCATGGTGATTTTTGATTTAACTAATCCTTGTACAATTTGAATTTCCGAAAGGGCAAACAACTTAACTGTCTTTAACATTGGACAATCAAAACTTAGCATATTTCTATGATATATATGTGTGTGTATTTATTATTATTTGTACAGGTGAAATTGCATAATATACCAAACAATTAAATTCAAACATCTCATCACTTATTTATTCAAAATACTATAATCATATAATGAATATTTAAATCATATCATTTACATATTCAAAAAGTATATTTACCAAAATTTTGTATATTCAGGTAGCCATGAATAATACATTTAATTAATATTAATTAAAAATCAACAAATATTTTCCAGTATCCGTAGCTCTTCTCTGTTTGTTATGTAGTAGTCATTATATATTGTTGACTGGTTGCTGTATCCATTATTATCGTCTTTGGTGCGTCAATCTACTACATTGCTCCTATCCCGCCATTATATGCGTAGTCAGCCTTGTTGTGCATGATCAGCTTGTTGTCAACAAAATAGAAACTGTCAGATTTGGTCTCAAATGGGCATTCTACCATCTCTTTAACTGCAAAAAAAGATGATATCACATCAGTGGGATTTCAAGGTTTTTTTGCAGATGTATTTTTTTGTAGAAAGGTACAATAAGAACAATAATTGCAATTCATTGAAGTAATTACAGTAACGTAATGTCTTTGCACTATATACACCTGTGCTGGATGATTTCATTTTTTTCCGAGGTACTGTAAGTTATAATAATAATAATTTAGATTCATATAGCGCCTTACACTAAAATAGCGCCAAAGCGCTTAATAATGATTACATGATAGCATATAGGCATATCATTACTTTTCCTTGCATGTATTTATTTACTTTTTTTAATCTTTTACTTTTATTTATTTATTTTGAAAAATTTCATTTGTCACAAATAAACTATAAGACGGTGAAAAACAAAAAGAATAGAAAACCATTATACTGTCATGTAAAAAGTGTAATCTTGTATCTACAAATTATGAGACTGAAATCATTTAATGGATTCCAAATAACTTACCTACGTATCGTTTAAGTGGTTTGTGTATTCAACCAATATTATGAACCATAAAATTATTGTCAGATAAAGAAGGACAAATGGGCATATGACTAAAGGCTGATGATCAGAGTTCAAATTGATATTGGAAAATGCATCTTGTAGGAATCTGTGCAATAATGGCTTTCACTATGTCAACTTATCAACAGAATCTAGTCTTTGTCTTGTCCATACTCACATTATATTTATCAAAACATGTGACATGCCTAAATATAGTCATGATGACATCACATCATTACCATATATAGGCACATAATGACTATATATGGGCATACCAGTTTTTTTTATAAAACAAAATTTGATAGTGTGGACAGAGCTTTAGATTTGATGTTTTATAATTTTTATTTTTATATTTGAAATGGCTCCCCTACTCCATAATTAAGAACTATATGTCTATTTGTGGCTAAGATGTTCATCTTTTTCGTAACTCAGGGTCCTAGGTTCAATCTCTGACAGCAATGGTTAAGTTCTGTCAACACTCTCGAATTGCATGTATTATCTGTGGTTTGCCAACAAATAGGAATAATTATGTCACATCACACTCATATATGGGCAAATCACTGGTTTTAGTATCAATTAAAAACATCATGTCTATCCAAGTTAAAAATCTAAAAAATTAATGTCATAATCTTCTAGCTACAGTAGTGAGCACTGGTGGTTAGTACTGACCCCATGTATGTTGGCAAAATAAAAATTCAAAGCAGAGTAGATAAGCAAACAAAGGAAACAAAGAAAGTCCTAAGGATAATGTAGACTTGAAGGACCAGCAATCAAATCAGCGATAAAAGAGGAACGTGTGAACGGTTACATTCAATATCCACCCACAACTTGATTACACCAATTCCAGAATAAATATAACCTATCATAAATGTGTATGTATGTATGCATGCATGTATGTACATGTATATAATGATAAAATTCACATTGTTATGGAGAAATCCTCCACTTAGTGACAAATTATACTTATTTTGTACACTTGTACAAATAAATCCCATTGAAGACAGAGGTTGATATGTTAACATCAATAATTAATTTATTGAGAAACATGTCATGAACTATGAAGAAGTCCTGAGGACAGGATAATCTGTTTCTCTATAAAGTAATTATGTTTCATAAAATGTGAACCTCTGTTGCTAACTTTGACTCTGACTCCCATTAATATATCAATGTATCTTTTATATATGTTCAATATTGTAATAATACACTACTAAATTATCTTTAATTTAAAATAATATTTATGTGATGAATTACAATATCAAATACTATAACTTTATAAATATGAACTGAATACTGTACTTAGATAAATTCAATTGCTCACTGTATAAAAACAAACATAAATTTATAAAATATCGAACAGTTAGGAAAGGACGAATAAAACATATTTACTGAGCATTAAAAAGAAAGTACTGTACCATATCTGAATGTCATATAATATATTCCAAAATTCTACAGAGCACATTCTAAGGCTTAGTAGAGGAGGGACAGTGTTGGTTTCATTGATGAGAAAACTATGTAAATGGGATATCCTTGTTGGTATCTGTCAAATGGTTTATCACAACTACTCACAGACAAGTTTCCCTGAACTATACATCATCTATTTTATAATTTTAACATGTTTTCAAGATGATTTGATTGTATTTTATTTGGTTTTCAACATTATACAGAATAACAATTTACAGATGACAAAAAAAATAAGAGTTGATATAAAAGGAAAATCAGATAGAGCCATTTCCAGCAAGTATGCAAATGTAATCAATAAAAAAAATCTCTACACTACAATGGCTGAATAATCTGGTTCTCAGCAATCAACTAATAATTATATATTAACCCATATAAAAATAATTGAGAACCCCTGACCTAAACATCTTTAACTCTAATTTCACCTCTAAGGTTATACTTATACAGGTGGAAAAACTTACTTTGTTCAGGTTCCAGTCCAGGAAATTCATATATATGTTCACAAGTATTCTTGCTGTTTGGAATTATAAAGCCAAAATTGAAATCAAAACTTTTGAGTAGCCTTTCCTTGAAGTAGTGCCTCTCAATCATTCTGAAGTTGTTCACAGGTTGGTCACCCACTTGGAATTCCACCCTAGCAAACATGAAAACAATAATATTAAAAATAGTAATTATGTTATGACAATGATGATGAGGAGGATAATGATTTCAATGATTACAATGACAACAAAATCATTAGTAACCCTATATCCATAGTATGAATGAAAATTATAAATGTATGAATTTATTGTGTTGAGAGCAAATTGAAAACAATAATAGTAGTTTACAGATTCTGTGGTGTCTAGTGACAGTGTGAAACCAAAACCAATTGAGGTGATGCCTCTTGGAGGCTTTAGTCAATTACTGTACGAATCCAGATCCAGTAACATTAATAATAAAATCACTGGTAAAGTTGTAACAACAGCGCTAAAATCAATACCTATGAAATGTGAATTTAAAGCTTGAAAAGCCATTTTCAAACACTGTACAAGCATTCTGAGCTCATCTTTGGTCAAAAAATATTCCATAGTTGTTTGGGAATAAGGCCACCCCCTACTTTAAGCCCAATTTCATGTATGAGCCTTTAATTGGGCAAAAGACCATGGTATGATTTTAAAAATATTCTTAGAAAAACATTGACTTAAAGTTAGGCATACAGTGCCAAAAAAATTTGCCATTTGATTAAAAATAGGATTTTTCTTGGGTATACAAATTGGCCAAGTTTTGTGTTCAAGTGGGTGGGCTTAAACCAGAGGAACCATGGCATATATTTATACATCAACCAAGTCATATATTCTATTTTTAATCTGTGTATCTACAATGGTGTCACAGAGGTATGCTGCTACGTAGATAAAAATTGATATCAACATACAGTACATGATACTGGCATGACCTGTTGTACTAGTTATTATAATTTAATCTATTTATTTCTGTCTGAAATCTAGAATAAACTAATTCTGACATGTTCTTACGTTGCTCCAATTGTGTTTAATTTCAAAAACTGTGGTGTAAACTGATAACGGACAAATCGACCTGCATTGGGGTCGACATCTTCCACATCTGTTTCTTCCTCCTCATCATCCTCTGAAAAGAAAGGTAACAAATATCAATAAACTAAATTATTCAATTAACATTTCTTGTACCGCAAGCATTTAATATAATTACTTTGCCATGCAAACCTTCAAACAATATCATGTTGTTTTGATTTTTCTATTTTGGTTACATAGCTCAAAGTCGAACAATAAAACTTGAAATTGAAACATAAAAAGGACTTCTACTGCTTACTGTATATTTTATTATTTACCTACATGACCACAATTCAGTGGGACGTAAAGCAAACAAAATCATAAATTGATCAATGTAACAATGACACTGGGTGCCCCTAAATGAATTAAAAGTTGTGATGTCAGATATAGATATGAAAGGAAAAAGTTAAAGTCAGGCTGACCATGCTCGACCTACATTGCTTGCAAAGACGAGTGTCTTACCTGAGGGTGGTGGCTTGGCAATTTCAAACAGAACTGTGTTACTCTCCATGTCTCTTATCTTAAAACGTGTGAAGTCTATATTATAGATATTGGCATCTGGATCGCACAAGTAATCTGTCAACAGTAAAAAAAAAAACATTAAGAATATTTCAATGATGTTTTTGCATAGAAAATTTCATATGAATGATATTTTGACCTACATCATTGAAATAGCATTGCAGCACCCACTGCTACTCTGGGTTCGGATTCAACACTATAGATTTATCACTAGTTTTTGGATATTAATTAGGGGAGAGGTTTTACTTTTCTTCTACTGCCAATTCAATGGTCGGCAGATAAAATTAAATTTCAATCATTTATTGCTGCAAGAGCCATTATGGGCTATTATCCACCAAAGCAAATTGCAGTTAATTGCATTGCACATATTAATATCAAGGAAGCCTATATACTGTATGTCCAATTCAATACTTAATACACTGCTGGCAACTAAAGTATGCACTACTTTTGTATTACTAATTTTAACTTTAAATATATTTTAATAGGCTAATGCTTTTAAGAATGTCAAAATGGCTAGACAGGGCACTTGAGCAAGCAATTGGTACACTTAGTTCATCACTCAAGATCACATTAAAAAAAATGCAATTGCAATGGAAATAGTACTGTTCAGATTGAATTTTTTTTTTCAAGTGTAAGTCAAAATAGTATCAGAGAAGAGTAATCTGATTCTTGGATCATTGCATAGTTTAGTGTCCCCCCTCATTAAACCTATACTACAGAAGAATCTGAATGGTTCCTTCAGAACATAAAAACCACTGTGCACAAATAGTGGCAGATCCAGAAATTTGAAACAGAGGGGGCCCAAGCAGACTTCACAAATGGAGAGAATACAGCCTCAGCCCCACCATGGTTGAAGCTGAAGGAAGAAAATTTATGATTATGGCACCTCTCGATGGCTAAAAATGGCACTCTCAGACTTTTCTCTATTTTTCAAAAATCTTGAAATTGTAACTGACAAACTTAGTCTGAGGAGAATGGATGAGAGGATTACAACAAGAAATTTTCAAGTCAACACTATAGATTTATAAAGGAATTAAAAAATGGGCTCTATTTATACAACAGACACAGTATTGTTGATAAAATTGCAGTTAGCACTGATATTCTCTCCAATGCACAGGTCCAAGAAAAACAGAAACAGCTGCAAAGGAAATTAGACTAAACACATAAATACGGAAAAACAGAATATATTATTTCATAGAGTGCAATAATAATACCCTCAGATCTAATTTCACAAAATTTTAAAGATGTATGTGAATGGTTTACGGTACCTAGGTGTGCCAGAAGAGAGCAGGGACACGCTGACATCAATCTATGCATTAAAAAAAAAATACCTGAGATGGTTCTCCAGAGCCTACAATTACTGAGAACACTAACTAGTAACAACAATAAACATCAGAGCAGTCACCAAGAGTGTCCTCCAGAAGGCCTCCTCTAACAGCCAAAACATAGACTCTCATACATACATAGCCCAAAAAAAACCTGGTGGAGCATACACAAGACTACTCTGTTTACTGCTTTATGGTATGCCTCCTGTCAATGTTATCAGTAAAACAGTAATTAAATCTAGTTATTGAGATACACGTCCATGCTCAAATTAGTTAATCTCAAATTATCAGTCGGCACAAATTTATGATGATCTTTTCTGGGAACAACTATAGGGTAAAACATGAGGATGACAACCAAACACCTTTATTGACACATAAGCAGACTACACAGAGAAAGACATAAAGGAGATTATGAGGCATAGGAGAGTGGAAGGCAGTAATTAAATGACCGAAACTTTTGTGTCATGTGACTGTAGTTCTTCACAGTGACCCTTATAGTGCAGAATACAACACACCTTGAAATTATTATCAATGAACAAGTCTTGCATGGGAATGTCATATAACCCACACTAGAAAAAAGGACCTAAAGGGGCTTCCTATGTTCAAACTATGTCATAAAACACTTATGATGCAAGTTTGCATTTAACTTAAATTTGTATTACAGTAGAACCTCGTTTTTACGTACCCCAGTTATACGAACCCTCGGTTTTACGTACGCCTCGTTTCGACTATGACGTCATCAAAAACCACGAAAATAATCAAAACAAACAGCCCTTTTCAGAGCCATCATAATTAAAAAGAGTTTTGTTACTTCTTTCTACTTATTATTTCAATACTAAAACAATAAACAAACCATATGCAACTTATTTTCATTAAACAGCATCGTTGATTGAGTCCAATACCGGGCTGTTATAATTAAAACATCGTGAACTGAGCGATGAACAACTACCGATGGTGCTCAAAATAATTGCTTCCCTCCTTAGCTTTGTGTGGAAAACTCGTCTGGTCGAATTTTCTACACTAAGCTGAGTAGGCATAATTTCGTACACGAACGCTAATTGGTTGGCTCGCCCAGTGCAGTCCACGTGGTTGCTGTTTCACGTACACGAACGCTAATTGGTTGGCTCGCCCATTGCAGTGCACATGTTTTAGTTTGTCTCAGCGGCCCAGACAACACACAGTTTAGAGAATAGCCATGAAGGGGAATTCCCAAGTTATACAGTACATTTGTCGTATATGTAATCTTACAATATTTTTAAATAAAAGATATAAAGTGATGAATTAATAAACTAGACATATGGTTTTATTTGAACACTTTATTATGACATCGTAAAATGATGAATAAAAAACACTAAACACATGGTTTTATTCGTAAGCCTAGAGGCTAGGTCTAGCCTAGGTAACATCGTTCGTACGTTCATAACAGGCCTACGTTTATTAAGTGTTATGTACGTATAGGGTCAAAGGTCACCACAAATTTAATCCAACCTCTATTTTACGAATCCCCTGATTTACGTATGCCCTCCAGTCCCGTACCGTACGTAAAATCGAGGTTCTACTGTACTAGACTATAATACAAGGACCCAAGCATTTTTAAACTCGGTAGCCATCAGGTTGCCTCGTGTCTGGGACCAGCTCCCTAGATTGTTAACCGATGCTGCAGTTTTAGAAAGCCCATCCTCTTTTCTTCGTAAGGTTTCTTTGTTTTTTGATTCGCTGTAATGTTTGATGTTTTAATGTGTTGCTTAATTTGGGGTTGGGTAAACCGGCTTTGCTACAGTGATTTGGTTCACCCTGGTTGTCCCTGGTTTCCCCAAATTTCACCTTTTTTTTAATTTCCCCTTTTTTTTTTTTTTTTTTTTTGCCGCTCTCTTTTTGTTGTTGTTGTAAATGACCAAATAAATAATGAAATGAATGAAAACTATAAATACAGGACAATATTTAAGAATGATATCCAATATAAATTAGAGCATCCCTAGTGAAGAAGTACTACTGAACGGACTGACCTTTCAACAAATATTTTGTCTTAATTGTTCAATTGTATTAAACAGAAAGCGCATAAACTTTAATATTTAATACACAACTTATTTTACATTTTCATCTTGATGATATTCCCAATGCCTGAGATACCAAATATCAAAAAAAATATGATCCCAGTGTGTCTGATAAACTTTGACTTATACATACTTTTTTGCCTGTATAAATAATATAGTATAATTAAATCAGACCTGATTGTGTAGGTTTTTTCAGACATCTGATGAAACAAATTCTACATCATTCCATATTCTAATTTTGTTGGACAGATAGACAGACACAGACCTTTGGTGTCATAGATGTGCTGTAAAAGTATACTAATGGCCGTAGGAGACTGATTTCCTTCAAAGCATTTACGTCTGTCACTTACTGTCGTAAAGATAACTTCGATTGCTGTTAGGTCATCATTCATAATACTGCTCAGTCATAATACAAATAATGTCACTTTGTAATAACCAACATGAGACCATGTCTCTTCATTTATTTCGATAACATCCTACTTATCTGTTTATTTTATCTTTATTATACAGCACATCTCTTTTCTTCAGATATGAAGCGCTTATTTCCACTGGTCGATGGATACAGAATCTATCATGCACAATGTGCCACCTCCTCCTCTCCCTGGGGAATATTCACATAATTTAGCACTTCTAATTTCATTTCAAATCATTACCTTTTAAAAACCTTGACTATTATCATTTCTAATCATTTAGAATAACCTTTGTTATATTTACAGAGGGCACACTTTATGGCTATGTGACGAAGTATAAAAACAATTGATAATCTGCTGTCAGAGGCAGATCCAATGGGGATGGGGAAGGGGGAGAAGGAGGCACATACCACTTTTAAATTTCAATACATACCAATACCATGTACTATAAATATAATAAGAAAAAAAGATACAAATACAAAATGCATCAAAGGGACATCCTTTCTCTTCATTATGCCACTTACCACTGCTGCTATAGCTGGTACTCCACACTTATATATTTTGAAATTTTGGTGTGTGGCACCCCCCCAACCCCCAGTTTGACAAATTCTGAAATTCTGGATCCACTCCTGGCTGGTTTTTTAATTGTCTATTTTTTAGTTGATACTTGGTTAGAATATACAGTAATGCAATTACTGTATGCTGAATTACTTTTATATTTATTTCATTGAATTTGGCACCCATCCAAGTTTTGCATAATTCATAAGTAGTAAAATAAAATAATGATTGGGTTCTTGGCATTTGTATACTGCACTATAATCTGAATTGTTCAGGATAATAAGCCATTTGGCAAAACCTTATCAAAGGCATTTATGTTGGGAGACTAATACCGCTCACAAGACATATACTGTACAGTAGTCAACAAATGAAGAATGCTTTAAATAAAGCAACTGTAAAAATTTAGCGACTTACTCTCTGTACATCTGACTAATTTCAAAACATCTTCTGGAGAAACAACATCTCGTTGGAGTAGATCTTCCTCGGTGAGCACTTCCGACTCGGGTTTAGTATTCTTTCTCTTTGCCTGTCTGTGAAGAAATCCACCGCCTTTTTTCTTCCCTGATGTGGGAGGTGCTGCCGCTGGAGAACTCATGATTTCAAGTCCCTCTAGATTCTAAATTGTAAAAATAAAAATACATAATTGTTAAAAGGAAGTATTTAAAGATATGTTGAGCTAAAAATAGAATACTTTGATTAATTAATTTTTATTCTTTAAAAAGTTACCTATTATCTGCAGCAACCATGACATCTTTAAATAAGAATATTTTTACACAATATATATTTATAAAATAAATATAAAATACTAATCAATCTGTTTTTGATGGTAACATCACAACATTGCAATCTTACAACCATTTCATGGGATCTTGAGAGGGCTTGAGGACTCCTCAATTACATTTTTACCTCAGACTGTATCGGCTACACTTATGTCTACAGAACCCAAAGTCGATGTACAGTAGGTTTAGTATTGCGGCCCTAAAAGCATTAAAAACTAAGCCTGTTCATCGTAATACGATATTGTGAAATTCAAATTGTACTTTGACTTGTTCTAAAAATAAATGGTATCTATGTTCAGTATGAATATATTTGTTCTATTACTTCATATTAGGCCACAATAGTTCACCGGCCAGTCTTATTTTGGGAGTACCTTTATAATTAAATATTAATAAATATTTTATTTGTTTTCTACCTAGAATTTGGCACTGTACATAGTATAATATGAGGCTTGCAGTCCCAAAACCAGCATACTGTCACTAAATGTTAAACTGAGTAATTAGCATAACAATGTGCCAGTATTGTTTACTTTAGTACAGAGAAGCTGTAATATTTTTACTCATAAGGGGAGACTATTTTTATACAGTACATTATTTAGCGAACACGCTGCCCACCAATAATGATGAATTCCAATAAAAAAAGACATATTTTTGGCCAATTAATACACCTGCTGCCACGAAAAAATGTAAGTTTCAGAAAAAACTTTCATAATTTTAATAATTTTTTCATAATGGAGAATATGAATATTAAAAGTCAATTTTCATGTTTTCGTCACTGATACTAGTTTTTGCATGGCAAGCTCCATATATTATATTATTATATTCACAGTTTTTTCTTCACTTATCAGATTTTGTTGATAAATGTTACTTTACTCTAAAAGCGGTTTTGCTACTCCCACCTCATATCAATTGATTAATCAAATTTGCACAAAATATTCATCTGTATCATTTACATTTGACCTATGTATGTTTTTCCAATTTGACTAAAGAACAATTCAACCTTTAGCCAAATTCAAAATTTCGGTTGCTAGAGTTAGCAGACTCCCACATATTCTGTTCAACCCTCGAATACATAGCTTATGTAACAATTCAAATCCGGTGTATTACTTAAATTACGCTAAATACACCAATACAAATTTAAAAAAAAAAAACAACTTTCAGATATAAACAAGGTCAACCAATAACATCATATACACGTAGTGTCAGTGAATATTATTTGCATTAAAATTTAACCTTTAAAATCAATTAATACCTTTCTATTCTAATGTTCAACCATGCATAATTTTCACTTGTGACAATTACAAATGTCCAATTGTATTGTAATAGTAGGCTAACGCTAAATGCTTGAACAAACTCATGCCAAATAATGAATACCGTTGTAATTAACAATGTAGAGTTCAACATCGAGACACACATTTGCCGCGTTGAAGGAGAAAAACGATACACACATAAAAGTACATTAACTTGTAAATTTCAGTCGCATATAGACTAGCACAAGCTAAAAGGATGACAACAATGGACTAATTCACTTGAGCAAAGATCATTCCCATAAATTTCTATTCAAAATGTTAATTAGCATTTTGACCTCTCTAAACTATTTTCTGTTTGAATTATTACTAATCAACTGATACTGACTGAATGAAAGACTGATATGATAATGCTGTAATAATCTACGGTTAAACACCAGAAATATTTTGCTGACTTTTGACAAGGTTTGTATTTATTTCAAAGATCAATAGACATAACTGCATGAACGCACTGTAGTCATGTGACCTACTGTATAACTGGGACGAAATCGTAAACAGACACAACGAGTGACGCTCAAGATAAAAAATGCATTGTTACTTCTGAGTCTTTCTGCTGAATGACACATCAATGACATTGAATAATGTTTGTAATAATTGTATTATTTTTTATTATCACTGTTAAGAACAAAGTTAAATAATATATAGATTTTTTCTGAATATAAATAGTAGGTGAATCCCAATGGCAATAGGAGTTCATTTACCTTTACAACTTAAAATCTCAATATTGGAGTAAAACAGAATAAATAAATAAATAAATAAATAAATACATAAATGAATAAATGAATGAATAAATGAATAAATAAAAAAACAAACAAACAAACAAACAAGTAGATAAATAAAAATAATTTGGAACGCTCCCAGTAAACTACTGTAAACCACTTGGAATTTGAACTTGGAAACATTGTCATAATTATTGTTTGCTAATGCTAAAACACTGTGATTTTTCAAGAGTTATTTTATTTATTTATTTATACACAACACATGTACCAAGGATTGTCAACAGAGAATAAATTACTGTCCTACTTGTAAGCGATAATCCTTTCACAAGACAAACATACACACATGATGCTTTACACAAACTAAATCTCAATACGAGGTAATAGTGAAGAGTTGTTTTGGTCGTGAGAAAAAAAATCAACTGACAGGAATTGATTCAGATTCAGATTGAATTTTATTGTTATGAAATCATTACAAGTCATGAAAATTCACTTCCTTGTTACAAAAGCCAAGTATGAAAAACAAAAGACCATCTGAATCACCAAGCTATTTAAATCCACTGCCATACCTAGGTCCCTGTGTATCAGACGCAAGTCCAAGCGCACAGTCTTCATTCTATGTAAATTTCTAGAAGGCCAACTGCGATTTCTAGAAGGCTAGCCACTTCATAGTTTGAACTGCGCATGCCCATATGAAGGTCAATCAACATAAACAAACATACGCCACATACACTACATAGGCTTATGTCAATTGACCTTAGATACGGGCATGTCAAATTCAGATTACAAACATACGCCACATACACTACATAGGCTTATGTCAATTGACCTTAGATACGGGCATGTCAAATTCAGATTACAAACATACGCCACATACACTACATAGGCTTATGTCGATTGACCTTAGATACGGGCATGTCAAATTCAGATTACGAAATGTCTTATTCAGAATCACAATGATCTTCAAAGCCAAAACTGCAGAAAACACTAGAATGAGGGAGAGATTACAGAAAAAATTGATTACTAGTGTTTTGTTTGCATAATTTACATAATTTTGCTTAAAATGCATTTAGATGCAATATATGATTATATGTCACAACAACTCATTTTAAATTTGTTGATATCTTGGAGGATACCTTTGCTAGTGTTTCACTTTCGATAATAATTGGAGGCATTTTATATTGTTTTCATTTCATTTAAATGTTGTAATAAATAAATAAAATAAGAGCTAGGAAATGGTTGGTTATTATTTGCTCAATCATGTATTTCTAATGAGAATTAAAAATATGGCTTTTATTTGGATGTAAAATACTGTACATGCATGATCGATAAATTGCGATATAACAATTTATTACATTATGTTCTACCTTAAAACCCCAGTGTCAGTTTTCTTGTTTAACAATACATTTCTGCAAATTTGTTTTTAATAAAAGCATTTGTTATTATCCAGTGGAATACACAATATTGGCATACAAATCCAAATGACCACAACCTACATATAACTGAAATATTGCTTCAGGGATTTACTCATTCTTATTCTGGATATATACGTCAGCATTTTACATTCACCACAACCTCCTTGATGAAAATAATTAAACAACACAATTACGACTACAACAAATGACCTTACCGGTATACAGAATAAATACAAAAATGGTCATCTGTATGGTATTATTAAAGATGTACAATTATCAGTCAAAAGATAGGAAAATACCTCAAAATTTCAAATAAAATTGTCCATAGCAGCCAATATAAAGATTTTTGTAGTAAAATGTCTGTAAATCAGTGAAAACAATTTTTGTATCTGTTTCTTGGTAAAAGCAGCAACGAGTACTGCAATGCATTTCTGATGGTGTTTTTGAATCAGGAGAAATAATACAAATCATGTTTACACTACAGTACCTGACATGTTAATGTAGTACTGAATGGTACCTTCCAAATATTTGCAAACAAAATTCTTATGATTCAGGTAGGAATCGAATCCACAACCTCCAAATTTAAACTAGAGTGTTTTCTTAAACACCTGACCACCAAGCTTTGTATACTATTATTAAGTACTGAAAATGATGATTTAATTATGGTTCCAATAATCTAACCATAATTAAAGGCTGTAGACAACCTTTAATTCCCTCAGCCGACTGTTGCTATATATGAATATTCATTTTCTTTATTTAGTTCCAAGGATCAATGAATATAAATTTATCTGTTTCAATATAAAAACTTGGCTTGATTAAACTTGCACATCTCACATTAGAGTGTGAATCTCAGTAGGAATAATGAATGTACTTGCAGTAAATGATTCTAGCGTGTGAAGCTACAGTATTTTACTTACAGCATACAGTACATACATTACATCATTTAATATTATGCTATTTCTTGAAGATCAGAGTGCTTTTTGAGGTTTTTTTGTATTTTTTAAAATATATCCTGTGGCAATGAAAAACATCTAACAGAAGAAAACCGAAAAATAAAACGCAGATAAAACCAAATACCATCACACCGTTCCCCAGCAATTTTAGGTGCAAGGCCCACCAGGACAGTATTCACAGGTGCTCGAATGATGTTGGCATCTACAGTGCAGTCCTAGTCAATTCCTAATCACAAGGAAACAACAGCATTAATTACAAAATCTATTCACTCTTCTTTTGCAAGACACATACTGTATGCAGCTGATATTACCATGTACCAAATTCAGAGGAACTTTAAGAAGCTTTAACAAGTGAAAACTGAAAGTGTTTTCTCAAGCTCTGTGCACACTAGCAAACTTTCTTTGATAGAAAACTATTGTGTGCCCATATATGGTGATGATGTGTCTAT